TTTATGCTGTTTTGGAAATCACTTTTTTTCCTGAAAGAATCAACAGAATTACCTGTACTACTCTGTGGTAATCCATATTCTAGCACACTACCATCAATGTGACTCCTTAACACCCTCAAACTTGGTTTGTTCATGGTTGTATTTCACCATATCCACTAAAATTGGCCAACTGTGAATTGGTAGTCCAACAGCAGTTCAAAATGTGCCAGATATGAGCTGCAGTCACTTCAGATCAAATCACACTCTGTTCACATTTCAATGCATGAAAGTAACTGCCTTAATCTTTATGTGCATTAGGATCAAATCACCCCAATGGACACTGGGAATTCAAACTAGTGTAAATAACTGTGCTCTGCAGACAGTGGCACCCTTTCCAGAGGTTCTCTGAGGGAAGGTTTAACTTGTGCTTTGGGCTTCATGGCAGTCTCACTAGCAGAGGTGCCTCGGGGACACTCTGAATTCAAATCACCATAACACATATACATGTGTGTTCACAGGAGGCCACACGAGTTACAGGTAAAACAGACAAATCAAAGGGTTGCATCCTCCCATCAGCTTTTCTATTATCTGCCCCACTTTGTGCCAATTTCCTCCAGCTTCCCCAACACCTCTTGCTTTGCTGTTCTTCCTTAAGACATGGGATGGGGATTTGTCAAAGTCAATGAGCACTTTATTACAGTGAGAGTGCTCAGTAATGAACAATTCAGCAATTTAATGAGATTCTGTAGATCTGTCTCCAGCCTGTCCATCAAGTTTCACTTCTATAAAGCACCCTGACACTAATCCTCTGGCATACCCAATCTTCACCCTGGGCTGAATATTAGATTCTTCCATGGTATATTGCATTACCACTATAACCTTAGCAAAAATGATGAACTTAACTACACTTGAGGCAATATAGCTGGTCTGATTTGATTCTCTTCTATTGGGTTGACTATGAAGGAATTACTTATTTACAAAGATAAAGCAAAAAACCCAACCAGTTTCTTATTGCCTTCTGAATGCCCAAATTGGTAAATATTTATATGTGTCTTTTAATCCATTGTGGGGACTTGGAATATTTATAAATATATATTTATTCCTGGTTGCACAGACTGAATTAAAAAGACACATGCAGGTTTTGCCTACAGCAGAAAACTAGTTAAATAAAAAAATTCTTCGGAACAGCATTAGTAACCTTTAGAGAGGCAATTATGATAACACTTAAATGGACAGTGTGGAGTTTGTTGTCACTCAGAAAACAGCACATTACCTCTAAGTATCTCTCCCCAGTATGACCTTGCAACAGAAACAGAGACTGTCATGTTTGCCTTGTGAAGTGTTCATTGAGTGGAGTGCACACAATTAAGAAAATTATTTCTGAGTCTTTCCTGCAGGACAGTGACACAAGATATAAAACTCCTACTCCCCAAATGTCATTACAGCAGGTTACAGAGGGCATATTACCCTGGATGTGACTGAGCTGGCATGAAGCTATACTTGTGTGGCTTTCTGCAGCAACTTTTCTAGCAAAAGTATACCCAAAGATGTAGCTTGCAGAGACCCTGCAGAGAAAAGATGATAAGAACTAACTGGCCAATCAGCCATGCTCCATGCATAAACTTGTACATCAAAAGGTTAGATATTAGGAAGAGATTTTTCACAGAGGGAGTGCTCAGGCATTGGAATGTGCTGCCCAGGGAGGTGGTGGATTCACCATCCCTGAAGATTTTCAAGCTGAGACTGGATGTGGCACTTAGTGCCATGGGCTAGTGACCATGGTAGGGTTGGACTTGATGATCTTGGAGGTCTTTTCCGACCTTCTTGATTCTATGAAAACTGATTTCTGATAAAGGAATATGGGCTAGGACTCCAGAGTACTGTGCTTAAAATCCCTAAACCAAACCCAACCCATCATCATCATGTGCAGTGCACTGCAGGTTCTGCTGTAGAGGCATCCTCCAGAGACTAGGACAGGAAAGAGTCTAACTTTACATTAGTATTTGCAGAAAATACTTTGTAAAATACTCCATAATCTAAAGCCTCAAAGTTTTGGAAACAAATATATCAATCACCAGACTGAAGGGTTAAATTTTATCTGCATATTGGTTTTGTGGCTTGAAGAGCTTAACTTTGCTTTTGATTTTGTTCACGCAGGACGTTATTCCTTCACACAACATGAAGCACCCCACAGACAGACACACCTTTTACACTCTGAGAAAAAAAAAGGCATATCAATGTAATAATTTCCTTTGAAATATCCAAAAGGTAAGTAGATAAATAGCAGGGGTTGAAACATAACTCAGACTTTTGACTCAATCTTCCCTGTTGGACCAATATAACCCACTTCCTAAAAAGAATGCACAGGTTTCTTCCAACCAAGTTACATTCTACCTTGAAATGCATGGAAATACTTTATAAAACATGAAAGCAAAGAGGGAACAGAAAGAAGTGGTTGGGTAACCAATATTATAGGGATTTCCTTCCACTATAGCATGAGTTGCAATTTTTACAGACATATGATGGGAACATTTCCAAGGAGAGATTTTAGTTTAGTTTTTGTGTTTCTCTTAACAAGCTATGTGGGTTTTTTTTCATATTAGGTTTCCTCCCAGCACACACACTAAAAGTCACAACATAATACTTGTTAATATATTATGGCTAGCAACCTGCCCCTTTTCTAGATCCAGCTTTTTTAGAGGAAGTGATCACCAGCTGCAGTTTCTCACCACAAACCTTCCACTGAAGCCTCCACTCATCTCTGAGTGGAGCTGATTGTATGATGATTCTCAAATTTGCTTCAGGCAAAGTCAGCTGTGGTGGCCCAAACAATTTACATGACTATTGAAGTTCCATGGCTAAATTTGTCTGAAGTGAATGGGAGAGGCTGCAGAAGCAGGTTTGCCACCAGACATGTGGCTCTAGCCTCATCAGAGGCAATGGTAATTGAGTTGCATGCATCAGCCATCTCTTCCCACCAACAAAGCTGAATCTGGAAGAAGATCTCTGGCTATATTTAAGTAGCACAAGTTAAGCAGTAAGACAAATTTCTCTTTCAAACAAAGTAATTGGATTAACACAACACAACAGTTTTGGAATTTCATTTAGAAATTTCCCTCAGTTGTTATTCACAGCTTTTGCTCAAGTGCTTATTCTCCCTCAAGATTGCTCCAGGGTTTCAAAACAACAGATTACTGCTATGGTTTATGGAGTATCACACATTCTGGTTGTTCACCAATCTCCTTACCTGCCAGATTTGTTCTTCACTGAGGGAAGTGAGTCTATCACTTTTAAAAACCTCTCGAAGGAGACAGTATGGGAGTGCCAGAACTTCTTCAGGATGACTCTTCAACAGCTCAGAGAGATGTTTTACTAAGAAGCCAATGACTGCATTCTCCAGCAAAGTGAGGTTGAACAGGTCCGCGAGCTTATACAGGTCCAAGTAATTAAAACTATTTAATTCCTAAATGGGTGAAGCAAACAAAATACATCTCAGAAGATAAAAAAAAAAAAAAAAAAAAAAAAGCAGCAAAGCAGAGAATTAAAAAAACCCTCACAGGTCTCAGATAATGAAAAAAGGTTATTCCTTTGGAGCTGTGGAGAAGAAAGGCAATATAACTTGAAATTAATTAACACAGCCTCATTCAAAATGTAGGTGTAAATGTTACCAGTGCATATGCAAATATATATATGATAGTGCTAATTTATATTGCAACTTCTAAGGTTATATATGCATAAAGCATCTGTAAGAAATATGGGTTAGTACCTAATATAATAAACCAGCATGATTTACACTGTATGACAAGGGCTCACAGGAGCTAACAAGTGGGTTAAAAAAAGTCTTTGTTAACTACAATAGTTTGTTACAAAGCAATTGTATGTTCCATTATTTACTGTTTTGATCAAGCTAGAGCACCTGTGCAGCACAACCTTTAGTTCCATGAAACCTCACAAAATATGAGGTGCTGAACTACATTTTATTACGTATAAATATATCTTCAGTGAACAAATAAACCCTTTTATTTTTCCCAAACCACTGACATCAACCTATAGTGGGTGTAGGCCTCCTCCTAGCAGCTGAATATCTGAAAAGGCAAAAGCTACAGTAAGTCAAGGCAGGAAACTTTTTTTGTCCTGGTAAAAGAGGAGCTATATTTATGGGCTAAAGTTTGCAACTTGGCATCCCTTGTGTTGTGGTTCAACCCCAGCCAGCAGCCAAGAACCACGTGCCTGCTCACACTCCTCCTTCCCCACCCTGCCCTCTACCCTGGTGGAATGGGGAGGAGAAACGATAGTAAAAATATACATAGGTTGAGATAAGAGTTTAACAATTGAGGACAAAATGACACAAAATACTAATGGATAATAAAAACTGAAAGAAAAAAGCCAAAAACCAAACCACCAAACCCAGTGATGCACAATACAATTGCTCACCACCCATGGACTGATGCCAGACCCTGTTGCCAAACCCAGACCAGTCCCCTGGGTAATTCCCTCCCCAGTTTATATACTGGGCATGACACTCTATGGTGTGGAATATCCCTTTGGCTAGTTCAGGTCACCTGTCCCAGCTATGCTCCCTCCTAGTTTCTTCTGTGTACCTTCTCCCTAGCACAGCATAAGAGCAAGAAACAAAACATCCTTGGTTTAAGACAAACATGACCTAGCAAAAACCAAAACATCAATGTGTTATCAACACTGTTCTCATTCTGAATCCAAACACAGCACTGTACCAGCTACTGAGAAGAAATTAACTGCATCCCAGCCGAAAGCAACACACCTCATAAATTAGTATCTGGACAACTAACTATTGCTGTTCTAGACTCGATGATCTTTGAGGTCTCTTCCAACCAGGTTGATTCTATGAATGTCTAGCACCTGCTGCCATACACTAGACCATGCTGATCACTTTAGGGGAGAGACCAAGAATTCCCCTGTATTAGAGAAAAGCACTCAGGGCATCTGGGAAATCAATGTTTACCCATTTCCTCTGCTCTTGCTCCTCCCCAATCCTGGTTTGCATCTTCCAATTTCCCACACTGCTCCCCTATCCAGTGCCTTCCCCTTGACCAATCCCATGTGTGAAAGTGACACGGAGTCTCCTCAGATTCACTTTGCTGGTTAGTTAGCACAGGGACTGGAGCAGGGGAGAGAAACAGCCTAAATGAAGTTAATTTCCCTTTTGCTGCTCTGCTGGGTGCAATGGCAGCACCAAATGAAACTGACAAGAAATCGTGTAAATGTCAAATGAGCTGCAGGGCTGGCAGACCGAGCGGAGCGAGCGGGAAAGTGCGAAGAGGGGGTTTCTTGGAATGTTTTATGGACTACATCTTGAACGTGTGAATTGGGTGGCTGTCCCAATGACTGTGGAGATGTTTATGCATATGCAATGGAGAGTGGAGAAAGAATTTTTTAATTTTTTTTTTTTTTTACCTACTTAGAGGAGTCGGTACTGGAGGAAACTGAATCAAATGCCTGTGGAGGTTCCTGCTCGTTACATAATCTCCTTCCCTAGCAGAGTTGTACACTAAAGATAAATCCTATTCATTATCTGCTTAAACTGCTGCATAGGAGTTTCACATTGTTTTCTTGGAAGAACAAAGTTCTTTACGTTGTCAGAACAAGCACTAACAGCCATCATCCTAAAAGCCACAGATATTCTAGTGTCAGTTCCTCTTCACATTAACATAGAGAAGGTAAGGATAAATCTGCAGTTGCAGAAAGAAAGGGAAAGGAATGAATTTTACATGAGAAGTATCTGGTCTGTGTGCTTGCTCGGTGATTGAATATCTTCAGATCACAGATGGTACCTCACAACACCACTTCTGTGATGGCCATGAGATGGTGGCAACAACACCTAGGAGTCTAATCAAAGTAAACATCACAGTATTTGACAAGTAACAAACATCATTTATTGTCCCCGTTTTGGAAAACTTATCTTCTCAAAGAACTCTGATTGAACGAATGCCAAATGCCAGGAAGAAATTTAGAAGAGCTCAGTGTATATTTATTGAGCTCTTTTGCAGTCAACAGCTAGAGCTGGAGAGGATAGAAGTAAATAAATAAATAATCAAGCATTGTGACCTGTGGATCAACAGCTCAACTAAAATGCATGCCAGATCAAACCCTACTAAGTGTCAGTGGAGAAGGACAGATGGCTTTCAGTGCACTGCAGGAAAGGACAATACTGGAGATAATATAATAAAATCTTGCCTCATTAGAGAGAAACAGTAAAAAGACAGACAAACGTAGTCTTTCCCTGAAAGGTCTTCACATTTTCAGTGAAATCTGAGACACTGGTAAGTCCTCATTTTTGGTTCAGGTATTTTTCATGATCCCCCAGACTCCCCTATCTCCTCAAATCAGCACTAACTGAAGTTGTTTTGAAGAAAGCTGTCTTACAGTTGAAGAGGTCAAATATACTTAGGGATGGATAAATAAACTCTCACTAGTTGTTTACTTACAATATTATATGTATTAACTTATTTCAGATCTTTATTTATGTATGTGTGTTTATTTATTTATTTGAGGGCCACTTGTTTATTTCTTTTCATTGCTAAATTTCAGATGATTTTTGATTCTCACCTAACATAATGTGCTAGTGACCTGATAGGTCTTGCAGTTTATTTCTTGATACATACTGCAAGGATATCCTGTTAAAACTAGTCTTAACCTGGAATCAGAAACAAGTAATTTCTGGTTTCATAAGGTTAGAGTTGATCTACAGGTTTGCATATCACAAAGTGGCAAGTAGTGCATAACCTTTTACAAATGGAAACTCAAATTGTCACAGCAATATTCACATCAAGATTATACAGTACTGCACATTACTGTCTCTGTGACGATACCAGAGGACAAAAATGGTACACTGAGATGGCTCAATGTATATACCACAGACCAGATAACTTAGCAAGACCTCCAGAAACATCAGACTAGAATGCAGTAGGTAAGTTGGTTGCAAAAAAAGAATAAATGCACCTTATCTTTTAGCTTTAAAAAAATACCACAGGAAGTATCAAATCAATCACTGTCAACTCAGTCTGATTTCACAGAATAATCAAAGTTGAAAGGGACCCACGAGGATCACAGAGTCCAACTCCTGCCCTGCACAGGACACCCCTGAGAATCACACTATGTGCCTGAGAGCATTGCCCAAGTATTTCCTGAGCTCTGTCAGACCTGGGGCTGTGACAACTTCCCCAGTCCAACCACCTCTATTTGAATAGATTTTCACACTAAACCCTTAATTGAATTAAAAACTTTGACAAATGATGAAATCAGTTACTAAATAGGAGATTTCAGTGTGGTGATTAGTAAGAGGTTTGGCAGTCTCTATTTTCCACAGATTTTATTATATTGTCTTAAAAGAGCAACTACAAGATTTTAAAGTAGTGTACAAATTTCTTCTGGTCCTGTATTGCAGCATATGTTCTTTTCAAAACATGGAGTACAAAACAAGCTTATGTAAATTATTGAAACTTTGAATCTCTTTTTAAAATATATATATATAAACTTTTAAGTATATGCCACTTATCTTTTTTGAACTGAAGGATGAAATATGAACACAAGCACAACTGTCACTAAAAGCTGAAGGGAATTAGGGAAAGCTAGTGATCCTATCTCTTCTAATATGATGTATGTTACACTGCTCAAACACATTCAGACTAAGAAAATGCATGTAAAATTATATATACAGAACTTACAACTGAAGTTAAAATAGTTCCAAGTTCTCACAGTAAACTCAAACCAATTTAATAAATTGGGCAAGTTATTTATCAGTGTCAGCTTCTAAAATAAGACACTCTCTTTGATCCTACACATGCTGCTTGAGTACATCCCCTCACTGAAGTAAGAGAATCCATTGTTCCACACTACTGGCTGACTGGTTTGGTCGTATCAACCTTTAGATGCCAAACCAATTTAACAACAAGCTGACATTTAAAAACCCTCATAAAAGAAAATCGGTTTTCCAAACAAACACAATCTGCAAGATGACAACATTAAATATTCAAAATAAACGATGTGACACTGTCCATATTTTAATACAGAGGTGGATTTCAACACAGAGATATGATCAATTGTCAAACAGGGAAAATAGATATAAACATTGTGTTTAAATTACTTCCAAATCCATCTCTATTCGTTTGTGCTTTAAAGAATAATTGCCTCGCACAAGCTGCAGAAAAGGATGTAACAGATTGATAAATTAGAGTTAATCATAACCAAGTACACAGCAGACTACAATATACCTCTATTCCTCTGCTCTGTGTTATAAATAGCAAAAAAAAGCACAAGGAGAACTAAGGGGAAAGAATGCATTTCTTTATGACCTTATTTGAAAGATAAACTCCTTGGGGAAATACAATTTATTCAGATTATCAAGACCCTGCTGTGCAAATCTACAGTCTGGGAGCACACTACGGAGATCAAACAATATTTACTTTATTCTGTTGGGTATAAAAG